CCTCCCGCAGGCTTTTGACATGGAAGAATTTCTGGCTCACCATGATAATATCAGAGGAAATCAGTATGTATAGATTAAAATTGCACCTTTTGTGCCTCATTCATATCTGTACATATTGGATTTTGTGAGGCCGATTGTCTCTCAAGTTTTGCATTCCTCAAACAGCAATAAACATGGGAAATGGGATGTCTCATGTAAGAGAAGGGGCTATAGAATAACTTCTAGGGTAAATAAAATAAATAAATATGAATCCTGAAAAGATACTGTGAACAAGGAGGCCATTCAGCCCCTCATACCAATAATGGATCTTATTTATTAAAGTTATTTTAATGAATATGTCTGAATTAGCAGCCCATTCTTTGTAGAGAAGTGTAGGAGTAAGAACAATATTCTTGACAACAATATTAAGCTTTTAACTTACTTGAATTATCAGAACTGGGGAGCAGAAGTTTGGCTATTCATTGAGAGCATGGTTAGGCCTGCAGCCTAACCCTTTAACTTGACTTTGCTCCATGTTCCTTAATATGCTTGTTTAACAAAAATCTCTTAACAATTGATCATACATCAATTGCTATTGATAAAGAGAGAGTTTCAAACTTTGATCATCCTTTACATTTCAAAGTATTTTTTAATTTCCAGCTGAAGTATCTGGCTGTAATTTTTAGAACATGCCCTGGTCTTAGTTACCCAACAAGCATAAATAATTTCTCTCCTGTTTCTTATCTGTTTTCTTTACTACCTTGAAAATCTGGACTAAAGCTTCCCCTAACCTATTTTTGCCATGTCGGCAAAATCTTCCAAATGAAAGGATGAACAAGTAAGATTATTCTTATAATTTTTCTGAAAGAAGAATTTGACTATTTTCATTGTGCTCTTGTTTTTAACCAGGTTCTATATCCAATCTACTTAATAAAACTGAAAGGCACTCTCACAAAAGAAATCAATGCCATTTTCCTTTGCTTTAATGTGTTTTAAATTTTGATTTGGCATCTTACTGGAGGCTGCGTCGTTTGTAGAAATGCCAAATTCTAAATATATTGACGTTAAGGTAGGCTTACTTTACCCAAGACAATACGTCATCATAGATGCTATACAATAGCATAACAAGCCAATTCCATTAGGAATCTGGGAGAAGTGCTACATCAACAGTTTGCCAGAGACCCGTGAAATCAACATTCATAGAACATAGAACATAGAACATTACAGCGCAGTACAGGCCCTTCGGCCCTCGATGTTGCGCCGACCTATGAAACCAATCTGAAGCCCATCTAACCTAAACTATTCCATTATCATCCATATGTTTATCCAATGACCATTTAAATGCCCTTAAAGTGGGCGAGTCTACTATTTTTGCAGGCAGGGCATTCCACGCCCTTACTACTCTCTGAGTAAAGAACCTACCTCTGACATCTGTCCTATATCTATCACCCCTCAATTTAAAGCTATGTCCCCTCGTACTAGCCATCACCATCCGAGGAAAAAGGCTCCCACTGTCCACCCTATCTAATCCTCTGATCATCTTGTATGTCTCTATCAAGTCACCTCTTAACCTTCTTCTCTCTAACGAAAACAGCCTCAAAACCCTCAGCCTTTCCTCATAAGACCTTCCCTCCATTCCAGGCAACATCCTGGTAAATCTCCTCTGCACCCTTTCCAATGCTTCCACATCCTTCCTATAATGCGGTGACCAGAACTGTACGCAATACTCCAAGTGCGGCCGCGCCAGAGTTTTGTACAGCTGCAACATGACCTCATGGCTCCGAAACTCAATCCCTCTACCAATAAAACCTAACATACTGTACACCTTCTTAACAACGCTATCAACCTGGGTGGCAACTTTCAGTGATCTATGCACATGGACACCGAGATCTTTCTGCTCATCCACACTACCAAGAATCTTACCATTAGCCCAGTACTCTGTATTCCTGTTACTCCTTCCAAAGTGAATCACCTCACACTTTTCCGCATTAAACTCCATTTGCCACCTCTCAGCCCAGCTCTGCAGCTTATCTATGTCCCTCTGTAACCTGCAACATCCTTCCGCACTATCCACAACTCCACCGACTTTGGTGTCATCCGCAAATTTACTAACCCATCCTTCTACGCCCTCATCCAGGTCATTTATAAAAATGACAAACAGCAGTGGCCCCAAAACAGATCCTTGAGATACACCACTAGTAACTGAACTCCAGGATGAACATTTCCCATCAACCACCACCCTCTGTCTTCTTCCAGCTAGCCAATTTCTGATCCAAACCGCTAAATCACCCTCAATCCCATGCCTCCGTATTTTCTGCAATAGCCTACCATGGGGAACCTTATCAAACGCTTTACTGAAATCCAAATACACCACATCAACCGCTTTACCCTCATCCACCTGTTTGGTCACCTTCTCGAAGAACTCAATAAGGTTTGTGAGGCACGACCTACCCTTCACAAAACTGTGTTGACTATCCCTAATCAAATTATTCCTTTCTAGATGATTATAAATCCTATCTCTTATAATCCTTTCCAACACTTTACCCACAACCGAAGTAAGGCTCACTGGTCTATAATTACCAGGGTTGTCTCTACTCCCCTTCTTGAACAAGGGGACAACATTTGCTAGTCTCCAGTCTTCTGGCACTATTCCTGAAGACAATGACGACATAAAGATCAAAGCCAAAGGCTCTGCAATCTCCTCTCTAGCTTCCCAGAGAATCCTAGGATAAATCCCATCCGGCCCAGGGGACTTATCTATTTTCACACCTTCCAGAATTGCTAACACCTCCTCCTTATGAACCTCAATCCCGTCTAGTCTAATAGACTGTATCTCAGTATTCTCCTCGACTACATTATCTTTTTCCTGTGTGAATACTGACGAAAAATATTCATTTAGCACCTCTCCTATCTCTTCGGACTCCACGCACAACTTCCCACTACTGTCCTTGACCGGCCCCAATCTTACTCTAGTCATTCTTTTATTCCTGACATACCTATAGAAAGCTTTAGGGTTTTCCTTGATCCTACCTGCTAAAGACTTCTCATGTCCCGTCCTGGCTCTCTTTAGGTCCTTCCTGGCTAACTTGTAACTCTCAAGCGCCCTCACTGAGCCTTCACGCCTCATCTCTACATAAGCCTCCTTCTTCCTCTTGACAAGAAATTCAACTTCTTTAGTAAACCACGGTTCCCTCGCTCGACCACTTCTTCCCTGCCTGACAGGTACATACTTCTCAAGGACACGCAGTAGCTGTTCCTTGAACAAGCTCCACATTTCAATTGTGCCCAGCCCCTGCAGTTTCCTTCTCCATCCTATGCATCCTAAATCTTGCCTCATCACCTCATAGTTGCCTTTCCCCCAGCTATAACTCTTGCCCTGCTTTAAAAACCGATCCCTTTCCATCGCTAAAGTAAACGTAACCGAATTGTGGTCACTATCACCAAAGTACTCTCCTACCTCCAAATCTAACACCTGGCCTGGTTCATTACCCAGTACCAAATCCAATGTGGCCTCGCCTCTTGTTGGCCTATCTACATACTGTGTCAGGAAACCCTCCTGCACACATTGGACAAAAACTGACCCATCTGAAGTACTCGAACTATAGCGTTTCCAGTCAATATTTGGAAAGTTAAAGTCCCCCATAACAACTACCCTGTTACTTTCGCTCCTATCCAGAATCATTTTTACAATCTTTTCCTCTACATCTCTGGAACTTTTCGGAGGCCTATAGAAAACTCCCAACAGGGTGACCTCTCCTTTCCTGGTTCTAACCTCAGCCCATGCTACCTCAGTAGACGAGTTGTCATCAAACGTCCTTTCTGCCACCGTAATACTGTCCTTAACTAACAATGCCACACCTCCCCCTCTTTTACCACCTTCCCTGATCTTACTGAAACATCTAAACCCCGGAACCTGCAACAACCATTCCTGTCCCTGCTCTATCCATGTCTCCGAAATGGCCACAACATCGAAGTCCCAGGTACCAACCCATGCTGCAAGTTCACCCACCTTATTCCGGATGCTCCTGGCATTGAAGTAGACACACTTCAAACCACCTTCCTGCCTGCCGGTACACTCCTGCAACCTTGAAACCTTATTTATGACCTCACTACTCTCAACCTCCTGTACACTGGAGCTACAATTCAGGTTCCCACCCCTCTGTTGAATTAGTTTAAACCCTCCCGAAGAGCATTAGCAAATTTCCCCCCCAGGATATTGGTACCCCTCTGGTTCAGGTGTAGACCATCCCGTTTGTAGAGGTCCCACCTACCCGAGAATGAGCCCCAATTATCCAGGTATCTGAATCCCTCCCTCCTGCACCATCCCTGTAGCCATGTGTTCAACTGCTCTCTCTCCCTATTCCTCGCCTCGCTAGCACGTGGCACGGGTAACAAACCAGAGATAACAACTCTGTTTGTTCTAGCTCTAAGCTTCCACCCTAGCTCCTTGAATTTCTGCCTTACGTCCCCATCCCTTTTCCTACCTGTGTCGTTGGTGCCTATGTGGACCACGACTTGGGGCTGCTCCCCCTCCCCCTTAAGGATCCCGAAAACACGATCCGAGACATCACGGACCCTGGCACCTGGGAGGCAACACACCAACCGCGAGTCTCTCTCGTTCCCACAGAATCTCCTATCTGTCCCCCTAACTATGGAGTCCCCAATGACTAATGCTCTCCTCCTCTCCCCTCTTCCCTTCTGAGCAACAGGCACAGACTCTGTGCCAGAGACCTGTACCCCATGGCTTACCCCTGGTAAGTCGTCCCCCCCAACAGTATCCAAAACGGTATACTTGTTTTTGAGGGGAATGGCCACAGGGGATCCCTGCACTGTCTGCCTGTTCCCTTTCCGTCCCCTGACTGTAACCCATCTACTTTTTTCCTGCAGCAGACATTACACTGATTTCAAAGAATGTTCAGTTGAAGATTTGATCTCCAAAAATCTCTGAAATTTAAACAATCTACAGATGTATTGAGAGTCCAGAGATTTTGGCTTTGAATTTATAACTTTATATGTTTCAGATTCCCATTTATAGTGCACAGAAAAGGATATACATACTGCAAGCAAGGTGACTGTGTAATTTTCTATTTAGTAAGTTCTCAGTGTTGCATGTTTGAGCTCTTTATTTTCATGGGTTCAGCACCATCTCTAGGTGAGTTGTAAATCCTTTAGTTGAGTTTCAATACTGTAAATGAATCTTTGCTCCTGTGGCTTAGCATGCATCCTTGTTCAGTGAGTTTCACTTAAGCAAGTAAGCCTGCACTCTCCCTTTTTGCTTGAAATTCTTTTGCTTGGTAATATCCAGGTAACTGGAGAATGCCTTCTGAGCTATTTTTACTTTGGTTCAGATTATTCTTTTACTTCCAAGGTCAATGTAATATATAACAATACATTAGACCATTATCTGCGGCTTAAATTTGAACTTTGTTCCTAATCAGGAGGAGGCAATGGCCTAGTGGTGTTATTGCTAGACTATTAATCAAGGGACTCAAGCAATATTTCGAAGCCACGGGTTCAAATCCTGCCATGGCAGATTGTGAAATTTGAATTCACTAAAAATCTGGAATTAAGAGTTTAGTGATGATCGTGGAACAGTTGTCAACTATTGGAAGAACTCAACTGGTTCACTAATGTCCTTTGGGGAAGGCAACTGAAATCCTTACCTGGTCTGACCTGCATGTGACTCCAGACCCACAGCAATGTGGTTGACTCTTAACTGCTGTTGGGAAATTAGGGATGAGCAACGAATGTGATCTTAACCAAAATTAAATATGATCTGGAGGTGCCGGTGTTGGACTGGGATGAACAATGTCAGAAATCACACAACACCAGGTTTAGTCCAGTTGATGAAGGGGCTAAGCTCCGAAAGCTTGTGTTTTCAAATAAACCTGTTGGACTATAACCCAGTGTCATGTGATTTCTGACAGATTAAATGGGTATGGATATTAGGTGAAGATTAAATCTGCAATAACTTGTTATTTACTGCCACAGGTCACACATTAAACAATGAAAAGTCAACTTATACCTGTGGAGCAGCACTCAAACTAAATATTTACTATCTTTCAAACAGGAGGGCGGTAAAGAAAATTGGGAAAAAAATGATTCAGGATCCAAGTTTATGGAGGAACTTTAAAATAGGTGGGGTTTTGTAACCATGATTCACAGTAGAATTGTAAACAATTATTCATTTAATTTTAACATAAGTAATTATGTTTAAAAAAGCAACGGACGGCAGCAATGAACCATATATAACACTATATACATTGGGTGAAATGTCAGTACAAAAACATCATCCTAACTTTCTCCTTTGGATATTTCTACTTCCTGTTTTCATTTTAGATTGAAATGCCATATCATACAAGGTTACGGGTCAAGTGCTGGAAATTGGCATTGGACTGGATGCTTGATGACTGGCATGCACAGAATTGGCTGAAGGGCCTTGTTCTATGTTGTAAAAACTCTATGAGTATATACAGCTTCTACAATTTATGTGTATTGGCTTGAAACCAAGCTCAGAGAATTTCTAACTATTTGTGGTTAGGTACAAATGAATTATTAAAGATTAGTTAATAATGATACTAATTTTGTACATGTACAGGGCATGTTTTTGCAATAAATTACTTTACTTTTAACAGCTTGTGGTTAAGAATAGCAGATATAGATGGGCTGCAAAATTGTAAAAAACAATGAGGTGATCAGCACCCTGACATTAAATTTATCATTTGTGATACAATATAGATTAACGTTGTGTTCTTAATAGACACAAATCATTGTCACTGGTTTTGAAAAGATGATGCAACTAAAGTTTAGAAAATGACCAATATCTTTATGTTTCATAACTTGTTCACTTGAAGAAAGTTGGATCCATTTTTAGGGTAAAACTACATAGCATTTCTGATTGCAAAGGTTGAGTCAAATAACCAGAATCCATTGTTATGTGAAGGCTGTTATACCCTGGTTAATACATGGGTGGTTTAGATGGTCTCCCAACCTTTGCAATAGGCAAGCTTTCTTTACATTATTCTGCCAAAATGAAAACTGAAACATCTATTAGCTGTTTGAAACCATTAAAAATTCCTAAAATAAGGAAGGTCAGCCTTAAGGAAACCGATAAGACTAAAAGAGGTGTGTTTGAGCAGCCAAATGTGTAGCAAGATGAAGAAAAGACCAGAAAACATTTACTGCACTGGATGAACCTCTCTCCAAATATAACTGTTGACCAATTATTTAGAATCTGCAATGCTTCGACATCTGCGATGACTTACAGTGAGACAATGGTGTAGCGGTAGTGTCTCTGAACTAGTAATCTACAAGCCAAAGCCAATACCTTGGGGATCAGGTTCAAAACATGGCAGTTTGTGAAATTTAAGTTCAATCAATTAATAAACAAAAATCTGGAATTTAAAGCTACTGAACATTGTCATCGATTGTTGGAAAGATCCATCTTGTTCTCTTATGCCCTTTAGGGAAGGAAATCTGCTCTCCTAGATCATGGCTTTGCCTATATGTGATTCCAGAGCCGCAATAATGTGTTTGACTCTTAATCACCTTCTGAAATAACGCAGCAAGCCATTCAGTCAATACCAAACTGCCAAATCAAAATCAAAAAGGAAAATAAAAGCAGACTAAACAACATATATTTTTACCCAACCTTCATGTTCTAAACAAGAATGACACTCTCGGAAATAATATGATATTTTGGCAACGAGAGATGGGATTGTGGATCCTATTGAGGGTTGGAAGAGTTTCCAGCTAACCAACTGAAGGACTTGTGAGCGTAACTTGTTTGGGAAAAAGATTTTGAAATTCTAGACTAAATTTGGGTTATATAAATTCGTCATCTGACAAAGACGGCTGTACTCACATGAATTGTTGGGGAATTCTTGAAATGGTTAGAGTTTTTTTTATAACTAACAATTCCCTCAAAGATCATTATAATCCACTTATTAACTGTAGGCTGTGTGGGAAAGGAAAAGGGTGATGTTTTGACTGCAGTCTCGGATGTGTAAGACGCACTCAACAATGTTCTAGCCCCAATAAAGCCACAAGGTACACTACTAAATGACATTTTGATTAAACTTGAGTAGCACCATAGCCTCGAGCCTTTGGTGACTTCAGAAAGGTATTGTTTTGGAACAAGGATCAGCTTTCCAATGAGGTTATAAAAGAGTTAATTTTGGACTTCAGCATCTGTCAATTCAATGCAATTTTGGAGCATTTCAAAAAAGAGCATTGCATGACAGATGTAATTCCAGTTTAAAAAGTGAACGCATTCACAGTAAGTTGATGGTAATGCCAAAGTTGAATTTCGATGTAGCTTTATGGTCACACGTGACTTAAGATCAGTTAAGTTAACAGCAATCAGTTGCCTGCTGAAATAAATAAATTGCAGATGAGCAAGGCATCAACAATAACTGGTGGTTATGACATACACATTTCTTATGAGAGAATAAGAAGAGGCCAAAGGGTGGTAACAATAGTACAACATAGTCCTGTTGCCAGTTCTCAGGTCAAAACTGAGCACAGAATTGTCTGTTTATGAAGTCAGAATACTATAGATGCAAAAAGAAAGTGCATTTTTCTAAGACATGTCACAGTAAGGTCAATGGAGAAAACACTGACAGAAGGAAACATCATTTGCATATGGTTGTCAACCAGTAGCAGGTGGATAATGCTTGGCCTGCTGTGTTCATCCAGCTCTACACCTTGTTATCTCAGATTTTCCAGCATCTGCAGTTCCTACTATCGCAGGTTGATAATGCATCGTTACAGATGTCTATGATCAGAAGCACAAGGATTTCTGCAGGACATCATGGTCCAAATAGCTGTGGATGGAGCACAAGTTGTTACAACCAGACCCCAGAGGAAGTTCCCCAATTTATTTTGTTTCCAATGTGAGGAGGGATGAACTGGCTCCCTTTTCTTATTCACCTGTCCACTCGGTTGGTCACTACAAGGTTAATTTACCAAGGATTCCATTCCATGTGGCTATCTTTCTCCCAGATGAAATGAAATTATGGTCACAAGAAACCAATGTAACCAGGCTCCATTGAATTAACAGAAGAGTGAGTTTATTAATTACTAAACATAAGAAGAAATATGAATGAAACACAGATATGTTCACATTTGGAATAAGAAATGTGTCTAAAAGAAGTTAAAAAGTTGTTTATGGAGAGTAGATGAAAGAACGTTGCAGCCATTGCAGTGGTGTTACTTGTAGCATTGACGTTGGCAGTTGAATAGATTATTTTAAGATTTGCAGGTTGTTTGAAATTCATTTGTCCTTGTTCCCGTTGACAATGGATGGCGGCAGTACTCTAAATCAGACAGTGAATTTTTCCCTACCTCATTACAGAAGGGTTTAATGGCTGTCCTCAAAGTTGTGGCCTTCTTAGCACATTAGGCCACACACTAGAATGTCAGGCTACTAGCATGCACAGACCATGGTTGAAACTCACTTTTAACCTTTGTCCTTGTGCATTCTTGACAGGGAAAAGGCAAACATGTCTCTTGCCTGAACTGCCGTCTTATTTGACCATGTTTACAGTCTGAGGTAATCTACAGGGGATCACAGTTCAGTTTGTAATGCATTTCTCTCTGTGAAGCTTCTTTGACATGTGTAAGTGTGACATTCTAAGCACTTGCCGTACCAGTCATCTTTTAAAAAGTGATGTTGGAAATTAAAAGCTCAATATATCTTTATGTAATCTGGGTTTATGATCCATAGTCATGACACAGGAGGTCAACATGAATTCATCAGTTAATGTTATTTCTGAGAAAGTAGGGCAAGAACTGAAAAGACTCAAAAGTGAGAACGTCTTTTGTAAGGTAGGATAGAATAATGTGTCTCCTTCCATAATGGTAGTGCCAAAGTTAGATGGTAACATAAGAAATGTGATAACTATAATATTGCTATAAATCTGAATGCAATCCACCTTACATTTTGTCAAATGTGGAGGATTGGTTCATAATGTTGACACAATGTCAGATATTTTTCAAAGTTGGATCTGACTATTGCCTGTTTACAATCTGAGTTGGGTGATGAGGCTCAGTCATGCTTTTCTCTGTAGCTAGGATTGAGAGTTTCAAAGGCTGTGTTGCTGATCTAGCATAGTGTTAAGGATATCTCGGCTGGGTTGCAGAGGGACTTGGAGTAGGAATGAAAGTATCTAGTTGTCCAAAGACCTATGTAGAATGAGGAACGAGGCTCTGCTGAGGGAGTACAAGCAACTAGGTGATAAATTAAAAAGCAGAATCACAGGGTAATATTCTTCAGATTGCTTCCTGAGCCACAAGCTAATTGGCACAGGTCAATAAGATTAAGAGGTAAACATTTGGCTCAGAGATTGGTGTGGGAGAAATAGGTTCAAATTCATTAGTACTGGTGAAAGTGGGAGCTGTTCAATTGGTACAGACTTTACTTGAATCATGCTGGGACCAGAGTCCTGGTGACTCACATAACTAGGGCTGTTAAAAGGCTTTAAACTGAGTAGTGGGGGAGAGTTTAGTTGCATAGTCAATTGAAAGAATCAAAATGAGGAAAAGGTAGGAGTGCAGGTTAACGATGAGGTTGATTGTTACTAGAGAATGAAAGAAAGCATGTAAATGTTATATTACACCAAGCAATCATACAATTGTTGGAAAAAATGATCATACGACAAATGTTAAGGCTTTGTGCATTTCATTGAGAATCAAATTCATGAGTTATCTGTGTGAATAAAAACAATCAGATATAATTTGGTGATGATTACCGAGCTGTGGTTATAGGTCTGTGAGTTGAATATCCATATATGCTCAGTGTTTCAGAAGGTGAGACAGAAAGAAAACGGAAGTGATGTAGCTTGATATCAGCACTCGAGACCAAGATGTAGAATCAATCTGGGTAGAAATAAAAAATAGCAAATGGAAGAAGTCCCTGATGAGAGTAATCTATAGACCCACGAACAGTAGCTCCACAATAGAACATAATATAAGCCAGGAAATATAGAGGTCTTGCAAGAACGGTACAGATATAATCATGGGTAATTTTAATATTCATACAGACCTTAATCACATTGGCAAGAGTAGCCTCAGGAATGAGAGTTTATAGAGTGTATTAGAGATTGTTTCTTGGAGCAAAATTCTGGGAAACCAACCCGGGAGCTGGCT